CCAACCACGCTCCTCCCTCTACTTGCCTTAGCCACACCCACCACAGAACTTTCCCCCCTCTTTGGCCACACCCAGTTAGGCTCCTCCCCCACAATCATTGGCCACACCCCTAGCATGGCTTCTTTCCCATGATCCTTGGCCACACCCCCAGCTAGACCCCAGCCCCCTTTGGCCACATCTCCACCCTCCTTGGTCACACCCTCCCCTACTTTGTCCACGCCCCCACCCCCAGCGCCAGGTGCCCACACCTCTCCTCCTCGCCCTCCAGCAGCTTGCGGTAGGCGTGGATCTCCATGTCCAGGGCCAGTTTGATGCCCAGCAGCTCCTGGTACTCGTCCAGCTGCTGCTGCATGCGTGCCCGCATTTCGGCCATCTCCCGCTCCTTGTCGGCCAGGATGCGGCGGCTGGTATCCCGCTCCCGCGTCAGCGCGTCCTCCAGGTCGTGGAGCTTGGCCTCCCTGGCTGCCAGCTGGGGACAGAGGGCACAGGGTTGAGGGCAGCACGAGGCACACCGGGGGCTCGGTCCATGGGGCAAACTCCCCCTGAGCTCGTGGGGGGACACAGCTGCACTTGGGGTGCCCGGATCCTGGGCCGGGCTATAAACGAAGCCAAGACAGTGGGAAAGAGGGGCAAGTGCAGCAGCAGGTCGTAGCCTGACGTGGCCACGGTGGCGAGCTGGTGGCACATGGGGCAGGATGGATGGACAGACAGATGCAGTGGTGGGGGCAGGTCTCACCTGCTTCTGGAGCTGGCTGAGCTGAGCCGAGAGGCTGTCGATGCGGATGCGGCACTGCTGCAGCTCCTCATGGGCGGCACCCACCATGTTGCTGTTTCTCTCTGCCGACTGCTTGGCGTTCTCCAGCTGGAAGCCAAGGAGTTAATTGCCACTGGTTGTGGGGGGCAGTGAAAGGGGCCATGGGTCGTGGGGGGGGGGTAGCAGGGGGAAGGGCCCAGAAGCCTCTGACTTTTGAGAGGGGGAAACTGAGTCACAGCAGGCACCTGTGGCAGTGCCAGTGGCTCTGGGCCAGCTGGGGCACTCAGAGCAGGGGGAAACATTGGCTCTGTGGGGAAAGGAAGGGGAGGCACCAGGCCCTGGAGAAATAGCCCCAGGAAGGAAACTTGGACATGGCAGGGGAGGTGACATGGGTAGGGCTGCACTGAAAGCCAGGGGTAGGGGTGGGAATAGGACCCAGACATCCTGATCCCAGACCCACCTAGAGTTAGTGGCAGGGGTGGGTACAGAACCCAGGTGTCCTGGACCCCCTCCTCCCCCCGGTACCTTGGCACTGTAGGTCTTCTCCAGCTCCTCCTTGTAGAGGTTGATTTGGGCCTCGTGCTGGGCCCGCAGGTCATGCAGCGCCTCGGACAGCTTGCTCTCAAACTCCCGCTGCCGCCCGTTGTCGATCTCCACCAGTCGTGTCTCATGGCGCCGCTTGGTCTCCCGCAGCTCCTGGGGGTGGAGAAGTGGGCACGTGAGCCCCGGGATCCCCTGATGCAGCCCCTGGGGTCCCTCCTTAGCCCGGCCCAGCCCGGCCCACCTCGCTGTAGATGTTCTTCTGGAACTCCAGCTCCTCCTTGAGTGTCTGCAGCCGGTTCTCAGCGTCCACACGCCGGAGCATCTCATCCTGTAGCTGCTTCTTGGCCTCATTCAGGGCAGCTTCCAGCTGGGGAGGGAAGCAGGGAGTGAGTGCGGATGTGGATCAGCACCGGGGTCTCTGACACAGCAGGCCTGGGCATGCTTTTGGGCTGGAAATCTGCACCTGGCATCACTTCATTTTGGTGCTATGCATATGCATGCCCTTGCTTTGCATAACCTGTCCCCATTCAAGTGCAGGGATCAGCCTTGGGGTTGGTGGACTCCCCCACCCCAGGGCAATGGCGTCCCAGCAGCCCTGACAGGGCTGGCATCGCTCACCTTGGCTACTTGTGCCCTCAGCTCCCGGACTTCATTCTCCAGGTTCCTCTTCTCACCCAGGGCGGTGGTGAGTGCAGCCTCCTTGGAGTTGAGCAGTGCCTCCAGGTCCTTGAGGCGGGACTGGGCGGACAGCAGGTCCGATTCCTTCTTGGCATTGCTGGAAAAGAGCAACTGCAGCCATCAGGGGAGGAAGTGATACCAGCCACGTGCAACCAGAGCATCCCCCCAGCCCAGAACCGTGTCCCAGGGGCTTAGGGATTTCATGTGCGTGGGGAAATGGCCCCTCTAGCTACAGCATTAGCTGTAGGGGGTCCCACAGTGTTTCACTTGTACACGTCCAGCTAGGCCCATGGCACTGGTGCAATCCATGTTTCACACTCATGAGTGCCGTATTCCCCAACACAGCTGTCCCAATGCAACAGACCCCAGCACTGACACGGCCTCAGAGCCTCTGCTCTCCCTCCACTGGCTCCTTGGATGCTAGATCAATGTCCCATAGAAATGCACTGGGTTGTAGCCTGGTGGCATCTCCCTAAACCCCAGGTGAACCTGCCATAGGACTGCACCGGCTTGACCTGGAAATCCACATTTTACCTGGCTTTTCCCCCACTGATTTTGGCTTTTAGCTCTTTTTTTTTAAAGAAAATTTTTCATGTCCCAAGTCAAATCAACCAAATCAATTCCAAAGCTGTGTGAATCATTCAAGAACTATACATGGCCCTGCTACCAGCAAACATCCTCCACCCCAGCCTGGGGCTTCAGATACTTCCAAATCCCTTGGCGAGCATCCTATGTGCAGGCCCAAGCCTGGAGGCTTGGGGTTTGGATGCCACCAAGTTTTGCTTGCCCTTAGCCATATGGCCACAGGAACAAGCTAGGGATGAGTCTCCCATTTCCATTAATGCTGACCTGAAAAGGGGCTGGGGGGTTGTTCCTCCACAAAATTCCTCCCAACTCAGATTAATCCTAAAACCAGCCCCCCTCATCCCAATACCTCAACCTGACCCTATATCCAGCCACCCCTGCTGTGTTGGCATCAGCCCTGGGCTTCCAGGGCCCCAATCCCAACACATCATGGGGCCTGGTCCTGACCCCCAAGAGCAGAGCAAATCTTGACACCCATGGAAGCAGTCTGGGATCCAACTGGATCACAGAGGCCATGCAAACTTCAGCCTTTTAAAGGTTTGAAACCAAGGTCTGATGCCGAGTTGCAAAATAATGCAAGAGGATTAACAGCCACTGCGGATGGGAGATGGGACGGGTCTGATGGCAATGTGTGCACATGGCCACTAGATGCTGCTGTGGGCTGCACAAAGCTCCCCCGCGGTCCCTGGTATACAAGAGGGGAGAAGGCTGGAGCACGAGCTGTGCGGACGTTGGGGCAGGCCCCCTGAGTGCCTCCCTGGCTTGCAAGTGGAGCCTGCGGTAGCCTGGGCAGCTCCGGGGTTTGGGGCCTGAGGGCTCTGCTGAGCCAGGAGGGAGGGCTGCGATAGCCCGACCCCCCAGGACGGCCGCAGGATGCTGCCACCAGGTCCCTCCCATTGTATGGTCTACCCCAGGGCTGCAAGCAGAGATGGAGCCGGGTGTCGGGGCCCAGACGCCTTTACAAGGAGGCTCACGGCTGCGCCAGGGCTCCTGTGCCGGCTCACTTAAGGACAAAGAACTGATAAACCCAGTGCAGAGGAACCTGCCCTGCTGCTGGGGACTAGGCTGGAGCACCACGACGCCTGGGTTCTCCCTGCCATTGGGTCAGGACTCCTGGGGTCCAATTCCAGCCGGAGAACTGCAAGAAAGTTGCACGCCACCCCGGGCCTGAGTTTCCCTACTTTGCAGAGGGGAGCTTCAGGGGCTCCCTGCTGGCAGGTACAGTTGGGAAGGGGCAGAGACAAAGCGCTGTGGACATGCAGAGCAATCATTGATGCACAGTGCTTATCCAGGAGGCTTAAGTGGGCGCAGACCCCCAAGCAAGGACAGATGGCTGCTGACTTCCCGCACAGGATTGCAAGCCAAGACGCGCTTCGTCCTTCCCTTCTCCTTCCAAAGAGCAGGTCCCCCTCAGCTCACCCATCCCACCCCCCACCCCTGCCAAGCTCCCGAGTCCCCGCTGCCCAGGGAGCGGAGGGCGAGCAGACCGAGGGGGTCAACGTGACGCCCAGGAGAACCAGTGGGTGGAAAAAGGCTTTGCCTCCACCTCCCACAACCCTCCTTTTGGTCATGGGAAAGAGGCAGAGATGGGGGAGTGGGAGGAAGTTGGTGCGGGGCTGGAAGGTGGAAAGCACGTCATGCCCAACTCCCAGAGTTGAGTCAGGAAGGGGCCACAGGAGTCCCCGGGCCTCTGCTCACCCAGGCGAGGCCGGGCGTGGTGGGGCGACAGCAGCACATTCCAGCCGCAGGCGGGAGCCAGCAGCCGGCTGCGGGGGCGGGAGCTGGAGCGAGCTCCTGCCTCGTGAGATCATGGGTAAAAATACCAGGCAGGCAATCAAGGAGCTGGCCTGGAGGAGCCGGGCTGCCCTCCTTCTCCCACCCCCTGGCACAGTGGACTGAGTCCCTTTGTCACCCGGAGGCGGAGGCCCGGGAGCCACAGGAGCTCTGCCTCACCACCTGGCACGACCTTGGCCACGGGGGACCCTGCAGAGCAGCCCAGCACTACAGCTGGGCGCAGCTGGCACAGGTTGGGCACAGGGCTGGCACCAGAAGAGGCTCCAGCGGCTTCTCTGATGTTCAGCTCTCTGTCTGGGTGCCCGTCTTGCTTTTCAGCAAGTATCCCCCCAGACAGACAGACACAGACACACGCTCCAGCAGCTCCTCAGAAAGCTGGCGCTGGACCAGCACCACCCCGGCCTGCCTGAACACACCCCCGCGGCCGGCCTGCACCCCCCTCCTGCCCCCCAGCCCATGCCCGTGAAGCCCTTTCTGTGCTGGTGACTCAGAGGACAGCAATGCCAGCCTGAGGCTATCCCCCCTGCAGCCCGCCCAGCATGGCAGGACAGGGCTCAGCTGGTGCCTCTGCTGGGTTACCCCCTTGCTGGCTGGATCTGAACCTGCAGGGGCAGACAGGGGGATGTCCCTCTGCCCCCCACTGCTGGTACAGAGCTAGATCCCCTCTGCTCCTCCATGGCACCTTGGCAGAGTTGCTTGATCTTGGACACCCACAGACTGCACTGCTTTGGGGCAGGGGCCGTCAGTATGTGCAGCGCCTGGCACAGCAAGGCCAGCACCTCCACCAAGGTCTTTCTCCTCCTGGAGGAGCCCATGGCAGTGTGATCAGCGAGGGAAGGGCTCAATTCATTGTACAGACGGGCCAACTGAGGCAGAGCCATCTCTAACCCCTCCCCCTCAGTTCCCCTCCTCCAGGTCCAGCCCCTGCAGCGGCTCTGCACGCTCCGTTCCCACCGCTGCTTGTCCTGGCAGTGGTTTGTCCCATGTCACGGGCTGTCTGCTGTCAGCTTCCCCTCCCTAACACCACGAGTCCTCCTCTCTCCAAGTTCCTCAAAGGCGCTGGTGACTAAGGACCCAGCAGGAGGAACTGGAAGGCGCTGGGGGAGCTTTGTACCCTGGACAGACCCTGGTGTGTCTCAGAGCAGAGTGCCCCCCATCACCCTGCTCCAGCTCCAGCTGGGAAACTGAGGAGGGACTTGCCTGAGCTTACACGGGCAGTTGGTGGCAGAGCTGTTCATGCAGGGACCCCAGAAAGAACCGTCTTGAGGTCACTCTTGTATCCAGGCACTCATGGCACACGTGCACATACACTGGCCCCTTCATCCCCCTGGTGCTTCCCCCCCTCCACCCCCAGATGCCCATTCACAGTAGAGTGCTTTCTTTGTCACCCTCCGAGGCTCTGGGGGTCCAGCCCCTCCTTTGGGCCCTGCCTCCGCAGCCACTGAAACAAAGGGATCAAAGACGGAAAAAAGGCCATTGTCGCCAGTGCTGCCACAGGGTCTGGGCAGCCAGACGGGTTTGGGGTCCTCTTGGGACGCACCATGGGTCCCTTTGCTGTGGCGAAGGGCGTGCGCTGGGCTCTCTTGCAAAGCCCATCTAAAGGAAGGGGTTAAGGACAGCGGATGGTTTTGCGCTGCAATTGCAAACCAGCTGATCTGTCCAACCAGCACGGATCCAGCTAACTACGGCACGTTCCCTTTGAACCATGACTGCCAACGACAGGGTGCACACACAAACACACAAATGCACACCCCCACCTCGAGATCAGACTGGTATTTTGTCATGGTCACTGCCCAAACCGGCCGGACTAACAGTGCACAGGGTCACCGACTCTCCTGGCTTGCACGGAGAGTTTCCCTTCCAGCCTCAGCTCTGCATTCAAAGGTGCTCTCCTCTCCTTGCATGAGAGATGGATGGGAAAACACCACTCCCGACACCTCAAAAAATGACCCCCAAAACCCTGCAGGTGAATTGCAGACCCTAAGGCTCAGGATTTCTGCGCTGAATGTCGCGATTTGTCGGCCCGCCGGAGGCTGGCGAGGCTGCGTTACAGTGAGGTCTTTGCAGCCTTCCAGCCGCACGCCGGCCTCGCCAAGGCAGTGTTTGAGGAACGGTGCTAAAGGGCAGGAAGATGAAGTTTGATGAAACACCCGTCACTCTGTTTCAACCTGCGCTGAGCCGGCAGCGACCGGACCTCACGGCTTTCCCCGACCCCATGACCTGGGTAGGGAAGAATCCGGTTTTTCCAGAAGCCCAGCTGCCGCTCGTTCATGTGGAGCTGCTGGGATGGGCTGATCCTGCTCTCCTCATTTGTGAGGAGGCCCGAAAAACCACTGGATTTTTGTCCCTCCGAGCTGGCTTCACCGTCCCCACAACTCCAGCTGGCTGAGATAGCCGTCTCCTTTCGTCTGCCTCCCCGTGAGGATCAGCGGTGCTGCTAATTCTTGCCGCCTGGACAGGGAAACTGAGGCACTGAGACATCCCCAGTGGTGGAGCGGGGATTTGAACTTGGCTGGCTAAAAACTACCCTCTGCGCTGCAGCTCCCATTTCATTACAGCCAGCGGACCCGTTCTGCCGGAGGACCCGGCCTGTATCCCCTCTCGACTTCGCTGTAAAGGGGGAGATTTATCGAGATCTACAGACAGATTCACCAGAAAACTCAAGATCGAGAGACATGGCGAGAGCGCGCACAAGCGAGGGAAGGGATGGGGCCTCCA